TGGGGCAGGCATGCAGACAAACACTTGAATAAATCATCTTTTCTATTCCGCATTGGCCCTGGGCTCACTGTCCACCTGTGCGTCTCCCTCTTCTCCACCACCAGGCACTTCGTGTGAAATGGTCCCATCTCCGGTTGCCCTGGGTGGATCTGGACTGGCTCATAGATATCTCCTGCCAGATCACAGAGCTCGACCTTTCTGCCAACTGCCTGGCATCCCTGCCCTCTGTCATCCCCTGGGGACTCATCAACCTCCGGAAACTGAACCTTTCCGACAACCACCTGGGGGAACTTCCCAGAGTGCGGTCTTCAGATGAAATCATCTGCTCCAGGTGGGTCCTGGAGTGTGAATGGGCTTGTCTACCACCACTGTCCTCCTACATGTGCTCCCTGGTTGTATTTTATATTTTTGAGAACAAATATGGCTAAATCTGGCTAAAGAGAGAACAAATCTGGTTAAAATGAGAGAAGGAAGTTCCACCTGCCCACCCTTATGCAAGCTCTCGAGAACAAGGTCACAGCCCCCTCTTTAGGTGAAAACAAGGAAGTCTAGAGAGATGGTTTGTCTGGTCCACGTCTACATGGCTTACTCATGACCATGCAGAACTGACTGCCTGAGATGCCCATCTTGGTCCTGTGCAGGACTCAGAGGAGGGACACTGACCATTCCTGGGCTGGTAGGTCCTGATACAGTAGCTTTTCCTCCTTCTCCCAGGGAAGGGGGGAAGAGCCTCAGGGAAAGGTTTAACTCTGTAGAACTCTGGCAGCAGGTGGGCAGGGTGGGAAGTCTGCTTTTTCTGGAGCCTTCCCCCTGAGGTTGCATGGGAAGGGGGAGGACCATACTTAATTGCTTTCTTTAGGGTACATCTCTGCAAGACCTAATTCCACAAAGGCTTTAAGCTAATTTCAAAAACTGAAGCTATAAGTGAAGGGAGAGAGAAGAATGTTGGAAAGACTTTGGGGTCAGCAATAACTCATAGGGTTCACAAGCAAGAACAGGGGAGGAGATACGTGAGTAGGGCCCATAACCTGGGCCAGGTGGATGGATCCAAGAGATCAAAAGCCCTGCTCTGTGGTCTCCCAGGAGTTTTCAGGGATGAAGTCATATTTTGCTATGACTTGCTGGGGGTGGGGGGGGGAGGATGTGAACCCCTGTTAGTCAGTGGGACCGAGGCCCACCAAAGAGAGATTTGATTTTCTTTATGTGAGACATGGTGACAGTCCTTCAAATGAATAAAAATCATATGTACTGCATTGTCAATGCACGCTCTTTAACCCTGTGCAAGGAGAAAAAAGAAAAAATATACACCTCCATGTTTACAGTAAAAACTGGTGTTTAATGTCATTCTTCTGATGCTTTCACTTCCTTCTTCCCCAACCCCAGGCTACTTGAAATTGATATTTCCAGCAACAAGTTGTCCCACCTCCCGCCTGGATTCTTGCACCTCTCAAAACTTCAGAAACTGACAGCTTCAAAAAATTGTTTAGAAAAATTGTTTGAAGAAGAAAGTGGTATGTTGCATCATCAGTGACCTGACTTAAAGTCAGTTTCTTCTTTATTGGGGTATTTTTATCTCAACTCTTATTTTTTTTTTTTCCCTCCTAGCCACTAACTGGATTGGTTTGAGGAAGCTACAGGAACTTGATATATCTGACAACAAATTGACAGAACTGCCTGCCCTTTTCCTTCATTCTTTCAAGTCACTCAATTCCCTGAATGTTTCCAGAAACAACCTAAAGGTGTTTCCAGATCCCTGGGCCTGCCCTTTGGTTAGTATCATACCAAACTCATGAAAGCCACAGTCAGCTTGGTGTTGCGGTTCATTTCACAAAGCCCTCTGCGCATCATCACTCATCATCCCCTGGGCAGCCACACTAGGTGGCAGGATTGTTGTTCACACAGCATACACAAGGCTAAGTGCCCTAGGCAAGTACCTCGCCTGAAGGCCAGCCTGCCCAGCTCTGGATTTGAGAGCCACACAGTAAAACCTGCAGAGCAGTGCCAGTGTAGCCTGTCACCGCAAGAGTTCTGCCCCGAGAGTTGGGGGGGGTTGGGAGGCAGGGTTCTGTTCTTTTAGGTTTTAGGACAACTGTAAGAGTAAGAGATAACTGATCTTCATTTGCTACACTGCTGATTAAATGGTGTTTTTGTTTCTTGGAAGTGTTGTTCATTAAAACATATGGAACAGCATAAAGAATATGTGTGTTTTATTGCTGTTGGTTTTAAATTGGAAATTCTCCATTGCTAGCATTAACATTTCTAGTTTAACCATATATGTGAGGGAAACCAGCTTCTCTCGAGAGCATGGTCCTGAATTGTTCCCTTATTTCCGGTGACAATGGCCCAGATGTCTGGAATGAAGGAAGAGGCCTATGAGCCACCTTTGTCTCCCCTCATGAACTCCACTCCTATCCCTTCCTTGGAGAAGGGAAAGCAAGCGGGAACAATGAGAGCTTGTAGCCTCTTAACCAACACTGAATCGTATTTATCACAGAGCTTTATTGTTACAGTCTTATTTTTAACGTCAAATTTGGAAACAGTCTGTCAGCACCACTGCATTTCAAGAGCTGATTAATATTCATTCTCTTTCTCATCAAACTCCTAGAAATGTTGTAAAGCATCCAAAAATGCCTTGGAATCTCTGCCAGAGAAAATGGCTGTCTTTTGGAAAAACCACCTTAAGGATGTAGATTTTTCAGAAAACACACTAAAAGAAGTGCCCCTAGGGCTTTTTCAGCTGGATGTAAGTCTAATGGCACTTTATTTCTGATTTTTGGCTTTGGGGGGAAAATCTCTCCATGTTGCAGTAAAATCTGTGCTTTTTCTGAACTTCTCAGACAAATAACAGAGGGGAGGGAGTGAAGGAAAAGTTCAGCTGTCAAAAATACCCGTGGTCATGAGCAAAATGGGATGTGGAACGTGGGAAACAGAAACAGCTATGTCAGGGTAGTAGCTACGGGTTTACTTCCCCTGGGACTTAATATAATGTTAAATTGTAAACACAGCCCAGTAGGCTTCTCTGTCCTTAACCATCTCCAGCGCCAGGCCCTCCCACCCCTGCTGGGCTCACTGAAGCCTCAGGAAGGGTTCTCCCAAGAGCCCTGTGTGGCCAGCCCAGTACGGGGCTGTGTTCTACTTCTGGTTGTTAGCAGCCCTTAGGCAGATGATAGATCGTGTTCATTTCTTAGAGCTTAGGGCCAGCCACAGTGTAGGGGCCGGGTAAGTGCTTGCTAAAGGCATCAGGGCAGCCACACCAGGGCCCCATGGTAGACACATAGGCCACACTGTGCAGGCAGAGTGACCCTTTAGCCTCGCCCCCATTCCTGCTAGGCTATTTCTCAGACCTCCAGGAACTCTCCTTCCTGTGTTCAAGAATCTGCCAAAGGCAGTAAAGTCCCCTTCAATATGCATATTCTAGGAGAGGAGGGGGTATCACGCATCCTGCCAAGGGAGAAGGAGCCGTAAGGAGGGTTGCTGCATGAGGACCTGCATCCCTACTCCCCACAGTGCACTCCTGGCCTGTAAGCTCTTTCACACCAACAGCCAGTAGACTTGGTTTTCTGGTTTCCACCAAGGCCCAGAAGCAGCAAATCAAGAAGGATAGAACCTTATCCAAAATCTTACCACTGGGCTCTGTGGGAGTATATGTCTGCTCATGGCATCCTCCTCCAGATAGGGGGGTGGGTATGTGGGGAGATTGGTGGCACCCCTGTGTCCCCAACACCAGCCCTGGGGCCTGGCACATAGCTGGGTCTCCACAGAATTTCAGAGGGTGGGATGGCAGCTGGCACCACCACCTGGGTCTGACAGGATGAGACAAAAGCCCTTGAAGTGGAGAGAGAGTTTAGTGTGGGGTTGCAAACAGCCTGTGGCCCTCCTGAGGCTACAGGAACTGTGGGTAGGTAGGATAGGTGTTGTCTGTGGGGCTGTCCTCAGGAAGGGTTACAGTATGTCTCTAATACTCCCATTAAAGTAAAATACATTACAAGTCCAAGGATAAAGACTCAGCCCCTCAGTGACCACATTCCCTGCCAGGTTCACATGCACAGTCCCCAGGGTGCCCAGCTCAAGACCCCATGTGGGCCAGCATAGGACACACCACGGCTAGGACAGTTCACCCTGGGGTCACTGCCACCCTGCCTGGCCCCAGGTGTTGGTTGGCCCCAGGAGGTTACCAAGAGGTGGCAGCATTATGCAGGTCCCGCAGCAGTGACTGGGACAACAGACCCTGGTTCTTTTCCCAGGAGAGGCCCGCCAGTAATCATCACTCTTATGAATCATCAACACTGGGAAGTACTTGGACCCTTTTCATTCTAGAATAATTGTTGCCTCTCATTGATTTTGAGGGAAGAACTTCTGTAGAGAAATTGTTCCATCTGCTCTGTGCAACACAATTTCTCAAGGTTTAAGAGACTGTTGAGCCCCTTCACAGTTGGGATCTTCCTAAAGGTAACTTGGTTAAGATAGTTTGGCTACACTTTGTCAGGGCTCTGACTTTTCTTTTCTCCTCCATCTCTTCTGTTTTGTTATTTGACACCATCTCTCTCTCCCTTCCTCTCTCCCAGGCCCTCATGTTCTTGAGGTTACAGGGAAACCAACTGGTGACACTTCCACCTCAAGAGAAATGGACCTGCATGCAGCTCAAAACCCTGGATCTCTCCAGAAATCACCTTGGCAAGTAAGCAGGGGGCCTTGGAATCCCCAGCCACCTCCTGTGTGTACCTACAGCTGGGCAGCCCTTGGAGCGTGGCATGGGAGTTTGCTGGGGCCGCTGAGCCACAGGCAGGTGTCTTCCACAACAGACACTGCTGCCTCACGGTCCTGGAGGCCAAGTGGCTGAGATCAAGGGGTCATCAGGGTTAGTTTCTCCTGGGCTGGTAGATGGCTGTCCTCTCCCTGTGTCCTCATGTGGTTGTCCCTCTGTGCATATGGACTCGATTAGGGCCCACCCTAATGCCCTCATTTTAATTTAGTTAGCTCTTTAAAGACCCTATCTCTAAATATAGACACCTTCTAAAATACTGAGGGTTAAGCCCTCACTAGGAATTTAGGGGAGAGAGAGACAAATCAGCCCATGACAGTGTCCTTCTGTTTCTAATTTTAAAAGGTTCCTGGAGAATCTTGGCTCTCACTTCATCCTACACTGCAATTCTGTTCAAAAGTCTTGGACAGTCAATAACTAAAATGGGCATAGAATTGAATAAAAAAGATGTACCCACAAAGGCTTTCAATAAAAGGAGAGAATCTGGGATGGGCCCAGCTACCCCGGCCCATCTGCAGAAGAAAGGCTGCTTCTGCCCTATCTCAGCAGAACTCAGGAGGGCTTCCACGGGGCAGCCAACAAGTACCAGCCACTGGAATGTGCCTCCATGCCAGACACTGAAACGCTCACTCCTGCCTGAAGTGGGAATGCTCAAGAATAGGAAATGCCAGAGTTAGGTCACTGTCTCCAAACATTTTCCTCCAAAGATTCCTGAGCGGTACTGATTGCATATAAGCTACAGGGTGCCCCAACATCTGATGATGGAAGTTCCTCCCTCCTCCATGGTTTAGTGCTATGTAGTCACAGCCAAAATAGTAATGTCTTCATCCTGCTGGCCTCATATGTTGACTCTTCTTTCATTCCCACAGAAGTGAAGATGGACTTAAAACAAAGCGTCTTGCCTTTTTCACCACCAGAGGACGCCAGCGTTCAGGGACTGAGGCAGGTGTGTGATTTGATTTGGGGAAATGTTGGCATTCCCAGGTAAGACAGCTGGGTGATACTGTTTCCTACTCCAACCAAGGGGAATCCGCCCTTATATTGGATTTTCCACTTCAATGCCCTGTTGAAATGCCAGAGATGTCTATATTCAACTGAAAACTTGCACATGGAGTGTGTCAGTTATTCATGTCCCATGTGTGACACACAAGTCCTAAATCCCAAGTGTCCTGTTTGGAGGCCACTTTAGATACTGGTAGCTACCGTGTGTGGATGAGCTCCTGCATGCCAAGCACTGCCCTGGATACATTGCATGTGTTATCGTCTCTTTAATCCTCACAATATGAGGTAGGAACTGTATTTCCCCATTTTACGCTTGGGAAACTGTAGGGTGCCTTAGTCTGCACAGGCTGCCATAACAAAATACTACAGTCTGGACAACTTAAACAACAGACATTTATTGTCTTTTTGTCTGTGTGTGGTTTTGTAACTTTATTTGATGTGTCTGACAATCACCAATTAATTTTCATCCATGTTGACTATGGATTTTTGAAAGTGGTAACAGGTACATAGGTAACCACAGTATAGAGCTTATTTGATGAATCTTCATTCTCATTATGTTTTCTGGACAATCATACACAGATACTGTATGGGACATTCCTTATGCCTTTGGCCCAGACAGCTTTGCTGAACCTGGTATCAATGTGGACATCTAGAGCCCGCATCTCCTTCATAGAAAATTTCTGGATCTCTTTGAGTGCTCGAGGGGCATGCTTCTTGAAGCCCACTCCATGGATGCACTTGTGAATATCAATGGTGTAGTCTCGGTTCACCTCCTCTTGATGGCAGAATAACCATTCTTCTTGCCCCTCTTCTTTCCAGGAGCCATTCTGCTGGGCTCAAGTTGGAAACTGACATTTATTTTCTTACTGTTCTGGAGCTAGAAGTCCAAGATCAGGGTGCCAGCATGGTTGGGTCCTAGCCAGGGCCCTTCTCCTGGCTTGCAGATAGCTGCTTTCTCAGCTGCCTTCCTGCTGTGTCCTTAGATGCCAGAAAGAGAAAGGCTCTGGTTCTCTTCCTCGTCTTTTAAGGACATTAATCCCATCATGAGATCCTTACCTCATGGCCTCTTATAAACCTAATTACATCCCAAAGGTCCTATCTCCAAATACCATGGCATTGGAGATTTCAGGCTTCAACATATGAATTTGAGGGGATACAGTTCAGTCTATAGCATTGGGGTTAACTGATTTGTCCCTAGTCATGTGTCTAGTTGGTGACAGAGTTAGATTTCAGCCCAAGACTATGGGATTCCAGCCCTAGTGCCAGAAGCTCAATGCTATTATGCCCTTATTGCCTCATAATGGCATTTTGCAAAGTCCACATAGATCACAGCCACCCTGGCACTGCAGGCTGAGGTTAGGTCGAGGTTGCCAGGGACTTGTGGCCTTTCCCCAGACTCATCAGAAATGGAACTTTTCCTAGAGCTTTTGTACTAGTTACACGAGGCCAGAATCTTTCTAGGGAAACAAGATCTGGTTCTTTATCTTCAGTGAGATACAGGGAAGGCATGGACCTGATACTCATGTTAAACAACCAAGCCTGCTTTTTAACTTCAAAGTTGAGACATTTAAAGGCAGATATACTCACACAAATATCCCTCAGGATGCTGTCTCATAAAACAGGATTCAATATTTAGATCATTTTAAATGTAATAGCTTGATAGGAGTTCATTGGCAAGTATAGATGATGTGAGGTAGGGATGAGAAGGGCTGCAGAAGCCAAGACACATTTGCAGGAGTTAAACTAAATAATCTTCCCCCGTTACATGTTTTGATGAGCTTTTGTGCATTTATTATAGATGTGTCATGTATGAGTGTGTTTATGTTTGACTGAAAGGCATAATATGTTGTCAGTGGAACAGATAAGAGAATCCCAAAATAGACCTAAATAAATAGAGGAATCTAATATATGGCAAAGGCAGAATTTCAATTTAGTGGAAGGGAATGTTTTCTTTTAATACATAGTGTTGGTATAACTGCCTATCCAGCCAGAAGGGGGAAAAACACAGCAGTAGATGTCGCCTTACGTCAATTACAAAAAAATGTCCATGTGGATAACAGGTTTAAGTATACAAAGAAAGAAAACAACATTTAAGAGACCATGTATATAACTTGAGGGTAGGGAAGACCTTTAAAAGTCAGCTGGGAAATCCAGCAATTATTTTTTTTAAAGACCAAAATCTTTGGCTTCTGTCAAAATTGAAGTTTCATTAGCAAAAGACACCCTAAACCAGTGATTCTCAACCTTCCTAACTGCTGTGTTGTTACAAGTGGAACAAAGGGGTCATGACCCACAGGCTAAATAAAGCCATAGTGCAAACAGCCTGAGAAAAACTATTTTCAACAAAAATTGTTGTGACACAAATTGGCTTATGTCCCTAATATACAAAGAATGCTTACAAATTAATTTTTTTTTCCAGAAAAAAATAGATAACACAATAAGCAGAAAATGGGCAAGGGATATGAACAGCTTACAGAAAAGGAAGTCCGGATGGCCAGGAAACAAAGGAAAAGGTCCTTTACCACACCAGTAGGGAGATGCAATTATGAATTTCATAACTGACCCTTTTTTAAATGAAGGGCCTTAGAACTTTAGAAATTGAATCCAGACACAGGGATTTCACTCCAAAGAAAGGAGAAACAAACACAGTTTCTTCCTTGATGCCAAACAGGATTGTGTGCATGAAAAGAGAAGCTAGTATAGATCTCCATCATGCTATCCCCTTGCTAGTGGGTTGAGCCTCATACATTTGGGTCGATTAGAATTGTGTCTCCAGGCTCAGCGCCTATAGCTCAACTGGCTAAGGCGCCAGCCACCTACACCTAAGGTGGTGGGTTCGAATCCCCAGCCCGGACCCGCCAAACAACAA